GGGGCCAAACTTGATCATAGCAGCATGGCGCCCCTGGAGATGGATGCAGCCCATCACTAAGGAGGTACTGGCCTCAGTGCTCGGTGCAGGAGGATGGCTGGAAAGGGAAGGTTCCCAGAGCATGGGATATGTGCTAATCACAGCTCTCCAAAGGATTTTAGGGGGCACACCAGAAAACTTTATGTGTGTGGGGAGGGAGCCAACAGGACTGCCTAATGGACTAGATATGGGGTGGGTCAGAAATAACTCCCGGGCTTGGCCTGAGCAACCAGAAAGAAGTGAGACCAGCCCGGGCAGTGTGACTCAGTTGTTGAGCATCATTCCAAGTAGCATCGGTTTGACTCCCAGTCAGGGCACATGCCCAGGCTGCAGGCTTGATCCCCAGTAGGGGACATGCATGAAGCAGCCAATCAATGTTTCTATCTCTCTCTCCCCCCTCTCCCTTAATCTCTCTCTACAAAATCAATAAAAACATACTTTTGAAAAAAGAAGAGAAGCCATTTACAGAGATGGGGGTGAGGAAGTAGGATGGGCGAGAAGACAGGCCTGGGGCAAGGGGAGAGCCAGCATTTGGTTTGCGACATGTTAGGTAGGAGATGCCGGCTAGACACAGATGCCAAGCAAAGTCCCGCCGAGGCTAAGGGAGAGATGCATGCTGGAAGTCAGTGGCCCAGAGATGGAGTTTAAAGCCATGGGAATGTCCGCACAAAAATCTGTAGGTGCATGTACATAATAGCACCATTCGTTATAGCCAGAAAGTGCGAAGCCAAATGTCCACAGATGAATGGATAAACAAATCATGGTTTATCCACACAATGGAATATTACTCAGCTGTAAAAAAAAAAAAAAAAAAAAAAAAAAAAAAAAAAAATGAAATTGTGAGCCATGCCCCAACGTGGATGAGCCTAGAAAATACTGTGCCACCTAAAAGAAACCAGACCCAAAAGGTTAGATATGATGATTTCCCTTTATGTGAAATGTGCAGAATAGGCAATCCGTAGAGACAGGAAGTGGGTGGTTGCCAGGAGCTGGGGGAGGGGAGGAGGGAAAAGGGAAGTGACTACTAAATGCGTCCAGAGTTCCTTTTGGGAGGGATGATGAAAATATTTCTAAAATGATGATGGTGATGGTTGTCCAACTTCTGAATATTCTTTAATAAAATAAGAAAATCCAGAGTAAACAAGCCCTCCAGGAGCAAGTCTAGACAGAGTCAAGGGCCAAGGACTGAGGCCCGGGGCCCACCTACGCTTGGAGGTCTAGAAGGTGAGCAGCCAGCAAAGGAGACGGAAGGGGTTAGAGAGGCAGAAGGCAAAGGGGAACAGAGGGACTGGAGCGCCGGCTGCCCCCTTTAGACAGATGTGCCCTCCAAGTTGCCCCCTGCCTGCCTCGCTTGCTCCCATTCGGCAGCCGGCAGGTCCTGGGGGAAACCCCAGTCCAAGACAGAGCCCTATGGATCCTGAGCCACTCCAGCAGCCAGTGCACAGGCAGCGCCCCAAGGAGCTCTGGCATCGGCAGGAAACAGCTCAAAGGGTCGGTGACAGTCTGTCTCGCCGCGGCACCTGCCATTTGAGCACCAGGGGCATTACCCCAAACCTGAATCATTTCCCTGGAACAGCCGACGGAAAACTCAACAAACCCTGAAAATGCCAACTGTCTATGCCGGGTCTGGGCGGAAGGCTGAAATAGAATGTTCCAGCTATTCTTAGGCAATGTTCAAGTTCAGCTTTTTGGGGCTGTTCCCAAAGAGGCTTTCATTCTCGCCTTTTCCCTCTTCCCGCCCAGGCTCCTCCATCCTGCTCGCCTACTTAATTCAAGCTCAGCTCAAACCAGGGGCTCAGAGGGCCTCAGGGGCATCTGCGAGGGCGTCAGAACCAGGGGCCGGAGGCGAGGCTTGACCCTACCCACTCCCTGCTCAAGGGATTGTCTTTTATAACCCACTGGAAAATGTGACAGAAAGGAGGAACTCAGGGGGGGTACGAAGAATTCCCCTCCGTCCCAGCTGTTTTCTGATGCGAGCATTTCAGCTGTGGGTGCCAAAGGCCGGACACACAGAGCACTTCGGTCGGGCGGGCGGCATGGCATGGGCCCACAGGAATCTGAGGTCCCGCTGGCCGGTCCCCCAGTGCTCTCTGAGCCTCGGATAAACACAGCTGGAGACAGAGGAAACTGAGCCTGTAAACAGCCATTTGGTCAGGAGAGCAAACCCACAGCCCGGCTCCAACCATTTCCTGTGGGCAGTTATTCCTCCAGCAGCTGCCGGCGGGCCGGCTCTGTCCCTCTCTGCTCTTCTGGGAATCCAGAACCCAGAAGCCCTGCCAGACCGAACTGTGGCCCCTGGGGCTGAGCAGGCCTCGGAAACACATGGGCCTCGCAGAGAGGGCTGAAGTCCACCCATCCACACAGGCCCAGCCCCACGGGCTATTGGAATACGTTATAGCACATGTGTCAAACACAAGGCCCGCGGGCCAAATCCGTCCCGCCAGGCCTTGCAATGTGGCCCGCACCGCGCTGTCATCACTGCACTCCGCTGCGTTTCCATCACAATGACAGTTTATGACTGTTCAGTAAACCATTCGGCCCGCGATTTAGGCTGGATTTTAGATTTTGGCCCCTTCTCTGATTGAGTTCGACACCCCTACGTTATAGGAACTGCCATTCCAGAGGCACACTGGGATCCCAGACTTCCCCAAGATCCAGAAATCCGGGGGTTAATCAACACCTAGGGAACCTCAGCTGGTGGTTCTTCTAACGGGTCAAATGCTTAAGGTTTTGAAAACCAGGGAAGGAGGAGCAGACCAGTCCCTGAGCCATGACACACTAGGTCACCGACCTTCCCAGACTCCCCACTTAGGGAACTGAGGTCAGCATGCCCAACACCCAGCCCTTTGGCAGCCTTAGCACCTCCAAGTGCTTCCCAACAGGCTGTGGAGTGGATAGGGGAATTCTAGAATCCACAAATCATGGTTCTGCCTCCTTACCCACTGTGTGGCCTTGAGCAGACCCCTTCCTTTCTCTGTGCCTCAGTTGCCTTGTCTCTAAAATGGGGTAATTAAAGTGGCTACCTCATCGAGTTGCTCTAAGAAATAAGTAAATAAGTAAATAAGGGTCTCATCATCAAAACAACCTTATTAATACAAACTATGTATTACAGATGAGAAGCTGAGGCATGGAGAAGTGACTGGCCCAAGATCACACAGCTCGTAAAAGGCAGAGCTGGGTTCAAACCCAGGCAACCTGTGGCTGCCAAGTGTCAGCAAGCTTCTCCTGTGAAGGCCCAGATAGTAAATATTTTAGGCTTTGCTGGCCACATCCGGTCTCTGTCACACAGTCTTCTTTGTCTTAGGGTTTTGTTTTGTTTTGACAGCCCTTTAAAAAATGTAAACACCACTCGCAGCTCATGGGTTGTACACAAACAGGCCAAGGGCTAGATGTGACCTGGCAGCCACAGCTTTGCTAGCCCCTGACTTAAGCCGGTACAGAACACTCTCCTTAAATGCCGGCAATTCGCTCACCTATGGAAAACACACCACCCAGACCAAATAAAGAGCGTTGGCAAAAGTCCAATTTGGTCCACAGGCTACCAATTGGCAAGGTCCACATAGCGCTCCTCCTGCACCAAGCTGGAGAGCTGAGCTACGTATGACATCGCCAACACCCCCTCAGGGGATCCAGGTAGCTACAAGAGCCACTGCAGAAAGTCCTTCGGAGATTCCGGGGAGGGAAAGACCCCAGCAGGCCAGGGGAGGTGAGGGGACAGCGTGGCCCACCTCCCATAGCTGCACACGGCACAGGCTTGTGTTCACAGGCAGAGATGATGGCCCAGGGTCTGGTCGGGCTCCGAGGCTCAGGTGTCACCCACCGTATCCAGCAGAAAGTCAAGTCCAAGAATTCCCTAGTACTTCTCCCCTCCCCTCTCTCTTCCAGTTCATGAAGCTAAGGATGCACATGGCCCCAGGCATGTGCATGAGGCACCGCCAGCCAAATTAGTCCACCAGCAAAGACTCCAGGAACAGCTGTCAGACCCAAGGCCTTGAGGATGGCGCCAAGGCAAGCTCAGGTCAATAGCCCCCACTTCCAAGGGCTGAAAACCCTGAGCTGAGAGCAGCAGATGGTGACAGAGCTATCCACCCAGCTGGAGACCTACCCAGAAGCCGGCTCTAATGCTGAGAGTGAAAACTTCTTGGGTCCCCACACAAGCAGCAAATCTTCCCTGGTCTCCTGGACCAAGACGAAGCCAAAGGCTGCTGGACAGCACAGGAAACAGCAGTTTGTGGATCTGTTTGCCCATCCTCTTCCACAAAGAGCCCATATTTTGGTGAGAGGGTCCAGTCTGTCCCCACCACTGGGCTTTTAGCCTGTGGGACAGTGATTGGTGAGAGGCTGGAGCACATGACAAAAATCTAAGCCAATTAGAGATCCCTTGCTCAGGGTGATTGATTGGTTCAGGTATGAAGCATCTGACCCCAAATCTCAGCCAATCAGAACACAATATCATCTTGCTCACTGCCAATGGGCCATGTCTTAGCCAATCAGACCCTAACCCTGCCCAGCTGATAGCGATTGGGGTAAAGCCCAAATCCAAGCATATAGGAGGAGGAGAAATAGCACAAGCAAAGGCTTCATGTCACTGATTCAATGTAAATATTATAAAATATTTATCCAAGTAAAAGCACGTGACTCAGGCCCAAATCATTCAGAATATCACATTCTCCTGGCCTCAGATGGCCAAAGCCTGAATCACCCTCAGGACTTCTGCCAGAGCTACTAGAAGAGAGGGTAAAAGGCCAGAGTAACTATAGCCCTCTGTGACCACACTGAAAATAAAGCTGAACAGTCAAAAGCAGAACTGAGCAAGGGAGAAAGAGGCAGGGTCCTGGTGGGATCCAGCCTGCCCCAGACTTCTCAGCTGCTTGAACTAGCAAATTTTATTTTGTGATTAAGCCAAGCAGAGCCAATCTGTCACTTGGAACACAGTGAAAGGAGTGGGGTGCCGCTCTCACCTTGAGAAGGAGGGGGTACTTGCAGATCCTCTGAATCGGAGACAGCAGGTAGCCCTCCAGAGGGATGTCCGTGGTCTTCCGGCCACCCAGCAGCATGCAGCTCTGCAAAGGGACAGAACACCGTCATTAAAACTCGCCAAGGACAACAGAAGGATCAGGCCACCCTCAAAAGGCCATGGGATCGCTCTTAAAACTCTTAAAACACAGCTACATACTCTGGAAGCAATTTAGCAACACCTAGGAGAGATGGAAATGTGCATACAGGGTGGGGCAAAAGTAGGTTTACAGTCGTTTGTGTGGAAAATAATTCAATAAGCCTATATAATAAAAGGCTAATATGCAAATAGACCGAACAAGGGAATGACGAGTCACTATGACACGCACTGACCACCAGGGGCAGATGCTCAATGCAGGAGCTGCCCCTTGGTGGTCAGTGCACTCCCACAGGGGGAGCGCCGCTCAGCCAGAAGCTGAGCCCACGGCTGGCAAGCACAGCGACAGTGGCAGGAGCCTCCCTCACCTCCACAGCAGCATTAAGGATGTCCGACTGCTGGCTTAGGCCTGCTCCCTGTGGGGACATCCCTAGAGGGCTCCTGGACTGCGAGAGGGCACAGGCTGGGCTGAGGGAACTCCCCGCCCCCGAGAGCAAGAATTTTGTGCACCAGGCCTCTAGTTAATAAATAATAATACAAGAATAAACTGTGTTTCGCATACTCACAACTGTAAACCTAATCCCTTCACCCTCACCCCCTTACCCCCACCCCCTTACCCTCACCCCTCGAATTCTATAACCCAACAGAAGGCCTCCATCAGACGTGAACTAAATCCTGCCCAGTCCCTATTGTGGTGATTAAAGTTTTATTGGAACACATCCATCTATTTACACATTGTCCATGGCTGCTTTCAAGCAATCATGGCAGAACCAAGTCATTGTAACAGAGACCACAGAGTCACAAACCTAAAATATTTGCTATCTGGCCTTTCACAGCCACATGTGCCAATCCCTCGCCTAAAGAAGCTTTCACACCTACACACCAGGAGACAGGAACACGGGCTTCAAAACGGCCTTGTGTGGAGCAGCAAAACATGAGAAGCAACCTAATAAGAATAGAAAAACATGTCTGCAGGACACTTTTGCACCACAGTGACAATGGGGAACTAAAGCTACAGAGCTATGTGGATGAACCTCAAAAACATACTTTTGAGCAAACACACACACACCACACACACACACACAAATAAAAAATATGCATGGTAGGAACCAATTTAAAACCTTTAAAGACACACAAACCCAAAGTAGGCATTGTTTATAGAGAACAGGTCTATAGTAACATATAAAGACATGTACAGGAAAGAGATAACATTCCAAGATCTAGAGAGAGTTACGTCTGTGGAGGGAAGGTTACCATGGGATTTGGAAAATGAACCTGCAACCTTCAACTGTCTGTCCCTGAAAAGGCTTTCTACCGTCACCCGGCAGGTGAGGGCCTGCGTACTGCCGCAGGGGTACCTGGCTTCTGGTTTGCAGCGTAAAGACTGCAACGCACCCCTCAGCTCCCGGCTACCTCCCTGGCCACCTCACCACCCACATCAGTATTGCCTTCATGCCAGCTCCTTTCCTGTGTTCATTCTATCCCCCTGCCTACAATGTGTTACTCCTCCCAATAATAATTAATAATAATAAACCCATTATTACCATCATCCACAGCTAACGCTGGCTGATAGCTTAGGATGTGCCCAGAAGGTTCTTGACAGTTCTCATCCTGCCGCCAACTTCCCTTCGAGCTAACCACTAGTATTATTCCCATTTCCCAGCTCGGGCAACTGGGGCTGGCAAGGGTAAGTGTTTCTCCTCAAAGTGAGCAGGAGGTGGGATCTCCATTCAGGCGGGCTGAAGAAGAGCCTGGGCTTGGCTACCCTTACCCCAAGCCCGGCATTCTTCGAGGCCAGGCCAGTGCCCTCCCTCCCTCCCCCCCCCCCCTACACACACACACCTCCGCCTTCCCCATCTTCTCTCAATTCCCAAGACCCTGTCCTCCTGGCACCTCCACAGTAGGCCGGCTGTTCCATGTGGCTACAAACCACATGCAGGAATTTATCGTCCTTTCCTCTGGAGAGGTTCCTCTTGGACCCAAGGGGGCTCCAACCTCAGCATCCGTGTCTTGGCTGCCAGGAATCATGAGTTTCGTGTCTGTGGTCCCTCCGCCATGCCCCTCACTGTCCTGAGTTACGAGGGCTGACCACGTGCCCAACAGAAGCATGAATGAATAAATGGGCGGATGAACCGATGCAGGTGCGAACTGCCAGCACATGCGGCCGTGAACGGGTCTCAGCCTTCCTCCTCAACACCGCGCTAGCAAACTGGCAATGAAATAGACTCTTGGGAAAGGGATTCCCACCCTATCACTCATTCATCCTGCGAATTCACGACGTGTGCTTACTGTGTGCGGGCGCCATTGCAAGCACTGGGGGAGCTTCCCCCCAGGTCAGGTGAAAATGTGATCGGAGAACCTTTCCCGTGTGCTCATCACCCACGAGGCACTGCGCCTCATGCTTCACCTACCGGTCAAGCTCATCCTCACGGCCCTAGGATAAGCCCGGACTGTTCGTGCTTAGCCACAGATGGGGAAACTGGCAGAGAGAGCCCAAATGACTGGTCCAAGTCCACTGCCTTCCAGGAATCTGAAAGGCCCCCTCCCCGGAGAAGCAGAATCCCAGGGACCCCGGGGCCCTCCGGTGGCGGGAGCTGCATGGCTCCTGCCCTCACGTCTAAGCCTGGCACAGACGGGGGATCGGGGAGGTGGCAGCTGGGGGATGCCAGGCGCCACACTGCTCACACTCAGGCCTTTGTCCTCGGAGCCAGACTCCCCCCCCCCCCCCCCCCGGGCTGCCCTGGTGATGTCAGCTCTGGGCAGAGAGAGGGGCGCCTGGGGTGGTGGGGAAGGGCTTTCCAGAAGCCCCCAGGGCTTGGCCAAAGAAAGGCCCGTGTCTCTTTGTCCAGAGTTTTCACAGGGCTGTCACGGCCACCAACCAGACTTCTCCCAAACCCCTAGATTGTTGTTTCACTTGATTTTCTTTTCTTTTCTTTTTTTTCTAAGAATAAAAGCAAACATGCACAGAGCTACCATTCACTATTCTACGAAGATTACACTCCAGGCACTATGGGAAGAGCTTTTGAAAACTATCCCTTTAAACCCTCCTAATTCACAGAACGGATTCAGGTGGTGTCGACTTCCTCAGCTTCCGCACCTCCCTTGGCAGCGTGCCCTGCACGGTCCCGGGTCCTCCTTTCTGTCCATGCTGGCTCCCTGGCTGACCTCTCCCAGGCCCATCACCCTAACACCATCCCATCTACTGACGTTCAGATTTACATCTCCAGACTGGCCCCTTCCTCCCCAAACCCCCACCTGGATGCCTCCAAATGGCCTTTTTACAGTTCCCTCTCTTACCTGTTCCTAACCCAGCCTAATTTACCACCTCAGGAAACTTCAACTCTATTCTCCCAGTACTTTGGGCCCAATACCCTGAAGCCATCTTTAACTGCTCTCGTTCAGTTACTCCCCAGAACCAACCACCCTTCAGACCAGTCAGCGGGACCCTCAAACTCCCTACGATTCCAACCACCCCTTGCAGCACCACCACTGCCCCGTCCTGCCACCATCATCTGCCTGGACTGTTGCCGCAGCCCTGCAGTGGGGTGAATAGTGTCCCCGAAAATGCCACACCACCCCGAATCTCAGAATGTGTCCTAATCAAGGGTCATTGGGGGTATGGCCAGTTAAATTAAGATGAGGTTATACTAGATTAGAGAGGTCCCCATCTGACCCTGTCCTTATATGAAGAGGAGAGGGCCAGGGAACAAGGCCACGTGGAGACAGAGGCAGAGGCTGGAGTCACATGTCCACAAGCCAAGGACCCCCTGAGGCCCCAGAAGCTGGCCGAAGAAAGGAAGCCCCGCCTGGAGCCTCTAAGGGAGCAGAGACCTGCCGGGGCTGGTCTCAGCCTCTGGCCTCGGGAGCTCTGAAAGATAAGTTCAGCCCTTTAAACCACCCGGTCTGTGGTCACTGTTAACGGCAGCCCGGGACACTCGCACCAGCTCCCCTGTGCCTTTTGCTTTCAGTCTCACACTGCCAGGTGGCAGACCTTTCAAAATGCAAATTACTTCAAGTCATCCCTTTGCTCATAACCACCAAAGGCTTCCCATCCCACTCAGACTAAAACCGAATATTCCAAACTGCCACGCGTTCCAACATGGACAGATCGCGCAGGCGTTATCTGAGCACAGGATGCCAGACACAAAAGCATCCTGCATGATTCCATTCGTGAAACATTCCAGAACAGGCAAGACTAACGTTTGGTGAGAGGAAAGAGCATAGTGGTTACCCCCGGATGCAGAGAGGGGCATGGCGGAGGCAGGACACAAGGAATCTTCTACATCTTTACCTCAAAATATCACATGATCTCCCTCATTTGTGGAATATAATGAACTACATAAACTGATGAACAAAAATAGAACCAGACTCATAGAAGCATTGAACAGACTGTCCAACCTATGAGGGAAAAAGGGGGTGAGGGGCTAAGAGATCAACCAAAGGACTTTTATGCATGCATATGAGCAAAACCAATGGACACAGACAGTAGGGGGGTGAGGGCATGTGCTGGGGGGTGGGGAGGATTGGGGAGAAGTCAAATGGGGGGTAAAGGAGACTCATGTAATACTTTAAACAATAAAGAATTTAAAAAATAACAATAAAGAAATATACCTTTACCTCTATGGTGGTTTCATGGGAGTACACATACGTAAATATTCATCATGCTGTGAGTATATTCACTGCATGTATGCTAGACTGCAATAAAAAAAAGCTAAGTAAAAATCTCAGTTCCTCTCCATTAAATGCTCCTTCATTCTCTGGCCTTACTTCCTTCCACGCTTCCTCTTACTCTCTCCATTCCAGCAACCCTGACCTTCTTGCTCTTCTTCAAACACACTTCTACCTCAGGACCTTTGCACTTGCAGTTCCTCTACCTGGAAAGCTTTTCCCCCAGATACCCCTTTGCTTCTCTCATTCTTTAACCAGGTCTCTGCTGAAGTGTCACCTAAGACGCTGCTTTTCAAAAACCAATCTAAAATAGCAGACACCACCCTAATCCCCCAAAACATCCTGTTGTCCTTAACTTACAGAGAACAATGCCACATGACATTTAGGTCTCCCCTGCTTGAACGGTCACTTCATGTCAGTAGGGGCTTCTCTTGCCTTGGTCATTGTTTTTTGTTTTGTTTTGTTTTTTAATATATTTTATTGATTTTTTTTTTTTTTAACAGAGAGAAAGGGAGAGAGATAGAGAGCTAGAAACGTCGATGAGAGAGAAACATCGACCAGCTGCCTCTTGCACACCCCCTACCGGGGATGTGCCCGCAACCAATGTACATGCTCTCGACAGGAATCGAACCTGGGACCCTTCAGTCCGCAGACTGACGCTCTACCACTGAGCCAAACCGGCTTCGGCTTGGTCATTGTTTTATCCCCATACTTAGCATGATCCCTATCGCATGGTAGGGGCTCGATAAAAGCTGTTGAATGGATGAATAGATGAATGAATGAATGAATGAATGAGCTCCACTTTATCAACAAGGAACTGAGGCACAGAAAGACAAAGTTCTCACCCCATCTTTCAACTAGTGCACAGCACATCACATCATGAATGGAAAGCCAGAATCTGTGTGTTCCTAACGCCCAAATAGCCCATGATAGACATGAGATGGCACTTCTGCAGGTGGCCAAACGCTGGGAGATGCCAGCAAGGGGGGAGACAGATGGCATGTGTGCTGGCACCCACACGTCCTCCCCCCTCCCAAGCTGGCCTAGCCCAGCTGCTGCCAAGAAAGGGGCAGTTTGGACCACTAGGAAGACGGCAAGGCAGAGGGGAAGGAAGGACAGAAAAACTGAGGCCCTTCTCTCCCCACATCCCCAGAAACACCTTCGTGCTTCCCAACACACAGCTAACCCAAGGGGACGTCCCTGGAAGGTGGGGCTCGGTGCCAGCATGCTAAGCGGTGCTGCCTGAAACTCGAAAGGTCAATCACAGAAACATGGTCATGCATGTGGTCTTATAAGATATGACTTTGTTTTTGCTTTTTGCCAGACTCTTATGAATGTGAGTGCAGAACCGGAAACATAAAGACACAGCTACCAGCAAGGATGAAAAGCATCAGTCAGAATTCATGAGGCACTTGTGACAAAAGTGGCAGTGAGTCAACCAGCCTGCCCTTCTTCAGATGCTCACTGGACATGGGCCAAGCAATGGGAACTTACACGTGAAGGACACATACATTTTGAATCAAAATTCTAGAAATACTTTGTTGGAGACTCTGCCTTACGGAAAAGTGCATGCAAGAATTTTACGATATAGTTTAGCTCTCCGGACACCTGGTTAACACTCCTTATGCCATGTCAGTTATCTGTTGTTCTTTTATTTGCTGGACTCTGTATGTGTTGTCAGATGGGGGCTGGGACTGAACGAGTAGGGGATTTAGAGGCGAAAGACCAGGATTCAAACCTCTGAGAAGCTCAATCATTTTCCAATCATATGCACTCTTAAAAAGTCATTTAATATTTTGACGTCATCAAAATCACCTTTGGCAAAGGCTTAAGGTGTCCCCTAACATAATCTTCCACAGCAACAGGATTTTCAACTAGGCACATGGCTGCCCAGAATAAAGCCTCCATTTCCCAGCCTCCCTTGCAGCGAGGTGTGGGCATGTGACCAAGTATTGGCCAATGGAATGTGAGTGGAAGAGATGTGTGCTGCTACCTGTTGTACCCTTACTAGGAGAAAGGTAGTCCTTCCTTCCCACCCGTCCTGCATCCCACACCTGAATGTGGAAGTGGGAAGAGGTCTTTTTAGACCATGTTAATGAGGGCACACCCTATGGCCTTGGCCCCTGATACGGTAACCCCTAGACTGTCTACATCACGTTAACATGAGAGAGAAATAAATGCTTACGTTGTTTAAACCACTGTTAGTTGGGATGTCTGGAACTATATATCTTCACTCATACACAACAGTGGCTGGTAAAGTTCCAAGGAGATCACAAATGAGAACCCACACCAGTGAAGCTCTCTGCAATGGTAGGGAAGACCAGCACGGATGTCTAGTGCTGATCAACATCCATTCCCCACTTACTTCCACAAGTTCAAACTGTCCTTCAAGCATCCACCACGCCCTTAGGGCCTGTGATATATGGTAGTTGACCCTCCCCTCCAGCTCCAGAAGGCACCAATCAGAGCCCCAACCTATCCCTCTATCTACAGCAAGCTTGGAAAATTCGCACTGAGGGGCCAAATGCTGCCTACAATGAATATTTTTGTGGCCCAGCCAATATAACGGTATGTAAGAAACGTTTTAATAAAAATTTCGTAACTTAATTTTTACAATATCCTGTTATACATAATTACAAATAACGAATTACGACTTTCGCTAATGACTGATTACTCTATTTGCATTCATTTCCCTTACGCGCCTTACGTGCAAACACACAATTTCTCTCCACTAATACTAGCAGCAAATATTTTAGCAGCCGATTGCCACATCATTAATCTTATACTGACTTGTTTGGTATGTGCGACAGGAAATATTTTGCTTTCGGAGAACGAGAAAAATAGGTTTATTTGCGTTGTGCTTATTAATTTGTGCAGTTGTTCAGTGTCTAGTAGGTTCATGTTCAAGAAAGCAATATTCATGTTTATTAAAATGTTCTATTACTTTACGTTAATGTTTACTCATTTATTTCATCCCTTTGTATTCAGCACGTCTCTATTGAAATAAACCTACGTTTCTATGAAAATTGAAGCTTTTGTTTTTTTGTGGCCCACATACACTTAAACCTTGTTTATTTGGCCAGGGGTTAGCCTTTGAGTTTGACGTGCTTCATCTACAGTTCAGGGATAACCTCTGAAGCCAAGAGAAGCCAGTTAGCACCAGACCCAGGATTTTGGCCTTACTATTGGGCAAGAGGAATTATCTTTATCCCGGAGTTGCTCTGCTATGAGCCGGTGTAAGTGTGGAGTTGCTGAAGGCCACGCCGACACCACTTGAGGAGAGCTGCCTGGGAATGGAGCCAACGCAGAGAAAAGCAGTCAAGAGACACATGCCTAATGACAACATCTGAACACCCAGATGCTGCTGTGCCTAAAGCCCTCTCAGGTCTTAATCTTCCCAGGAAAATGAACCAGTAAATTCTTTTTGGGGTTTTGTTTTTGTTTTTGTTTTTTGGTTTTTGGTTTTGGTTTTTTTGCTTAAGCCGATTTTAACTGGGTTTCTTTCACTTATAATTAATTAACCTAAATAATAGTCATCTCTACCACTGGAACCCCTCTCATTAGAATCACTGCTTTAGACTAGGAATGGGCAAACTTGGCCCTATGGCCAAATCCAGCCCTCTGCTTGTTTTTGTAAATAAAGTTTTATTGGAACACAGTCATTCCCATTTCTTTACATTTTATTTATGGCTGCTTTTGTGCTATATGGGGTATGACACACAAAGGCAAAAGTACGCACGCTCTGGCCCTTTACAGAAAGTGTTTGGCGATCCGTTTGGACAGATTACTCTGGCTGAGGAAGGGATCGGGCAGCACGGGCAGCATGGAGGTGGCAGCACGAAGCTCTCTTTTGCCTGCAATGCACAAGGCTGAAGCACACAGAAGAGAGGGGTAGGGGTGACGGGTCACTTACCAAGAGGAAGGCACGCACGGTGGGGATCTTGTTCAGTTCCACAAGCAGCCGCAGGGCCTTCTCGTGGTTGCTGCAATATTCCTCATACACGCAGAATTTGTCCTTCTGCAAGACAAGGACAGAGCCTGAGACAGGTCATGGCAGGCAAAGACGCTCTGAAGTGTGCTGCCGACTAGGCCTGTCGGCCTACAGAGCAGGCGGGATTTCAGGTACAGAGGCTCCCACTCGCTGCAGGTCTCTCAGCCTCTACTTTTGTACCTATAGTTCTGCACCCATAGCCTGGGTAACCTTTCCGGAAGCAGCATGGCCCAGGATCAAGTGTAAAAACTCAAGCCAGATGGGCTGGGCTTGAATCTGGTTCTGCAGTTCCAGCTGTGAACTTGAGCCAAGTTATCTGCCCTCTCCTGCCTTCCTCTGATCTCACCTCCTGGCCTTCTATCCACTCCTTAAGTCTGCCATGCCTGTCTACGTCAGGGCCTTTGCACCTGCCATCCTCTCTACCTGGAACACTCTACCTGGAGGCCTGGCTACTTCCCACCATTCAGGACTCCCACCTCCTCAAATGACACCTGGGCCACCCTAGCTAAAGAAGCCACTCAGGTGTTTTCTATCACCCACGCACCTGTCATTTTCGTGATGGGCCCCTCACAATCTGGACTATCCAGAGTATTTGTTTCTCAGTTGTCTTCCCACTTGGCAGTCAGTTTCCTGAAGGCAGTGAATATGTCTGTCTTGTTCAACAAAATATCCCCAGATCCTGGCACTCAGTAGACCCTCAATGAATACTTGCTAATTGAATAAACTCTGCACACCTACTATGTGCTACACCGTGTATATATGAACTAGAAGAGTCAAGACTAGCTCCAGAATTAGGGGGAACAAGTAGATCTCTGGTCCCTGCCACACAGCAGTGGCATTCCTGAGGCAGCGAGATAATTCTATTGACCTCCAGATGCTCCTAAGTCCAAAGTTGGAGTCTTTCCAGCCTAGAGGTCACGCGTGGGTCATCAGATCTGTAACCATCAGCCAAGGTTTCCGGAAATCAAAGGGACAAGAGCCTTCTTAGCACGAAGCTCTCCACCAAGCATTCTCGGTTCCAAAAATCTCACAGAACACTGTCACCCAACTGGCCAAACTCCAAACAAGGATGTCCTGGGTAAGGCCACTGGGCAGGGAGGGCTGAAGGGCCTCCACCTTGGGCTGGGGGATGGGCAGACGACCCCAAGCATGGAAGGAAGGAAGAGGTGGGTCTGCAAAACAAGCAGCTCATCTTGTCTCTAAACAAGCCCCCAGCCATCCTGCTGATGGGTGCCTACAGGAAAGAGGAAACCAAAGAGGAGGGAGAATGGGTTTCAGAATCAATCAGCGGCCCCAACACACCCAGTGCACTGCGGCCGCTCTGTGTGCACCATCTGAGCAGACGGCCTGAGCAGCCAAGTGCTCACAGCACAGAGTGTGGCTGAGCATGTCGTACATGAATGAGGGCAAACTCATTAAACCCTCACAATAACCTGGCATGACAATTCTTGGACTATACTCACCCACATACATGGGAAAACAAGGAAAAATCATGGGCCCACGGTCTCACACCTACTGAAGGGGCAGAACCAGGATGCAGTCTCTCTTAACATCCATGCCAACTTCCAGTTCACGGTCACACAGCATGGGATGGGGACAGGGACAGAGGTGGGAGGTAAAAACTATGGGTACAAATCTCAAGCCACAGACCCATGGACAAAGTCACTGCAGCATAATGTGACTCTAGAACCAGACCACCTGGGCTAGAAACCCAGCTCCAAGCTTCCTAAGCAGCGGGTGACCTTGGGGGAGCTGCTTTACCTACTTATGTCTCAATTCCCTCATCTATAAAATGAACATAATAACAGACACACACACACACACACACACACACACACACACACACTTCTTGGGCTATTGGAAAATTAAATAACAGTGTATGTAAAACAAGGAGAGCAGAGCCTGGTATATAATGAACACTTATAACATTTCAAAGCGCTCTAAAAGTACTAGCCACAAACACAAACGCAATCAATAAAAGTGAATTAATAGGAAGAAATGCCACCATTATCCAAAGGGTACACACGTCAGGGACAAAACTACCCTAAACCCAGACTCCAAAGAACCACCGGACGATCTGAAGCATTATAATACACACACTACGTGCCCCAAACACCACCACCAATAGGGTGAGCACGGAGAATCACGCACTGAGTCACCAACTCCAGCACCTCACCCTGTGTCTGCAACCCACGGAGACCCTGACGCACTCATACACACAAGGGCAGGGAGGGAGAAGAGGGGACCCCAGCACCTCCCACACTGCCCAATCAAGGACAATGGGGATGGGTAAAAAATCTGGACTGCAGGAGCTCGCTCAGGCACAAATAAAAGGACGTGAGGAAGGCTGCCAGACACTTCGGGAGCCGGGGCCTCGGCTGCAGACCACGGTGAGGCGGGCTGCGGAGAAGAGGAGAGGACTTGTCTTGTTGTAGGCGACAGGACCTGGCCTGGGTCTGGGGCCTGCTCTTGCAGAGAAGGCCTGCAGGGCTTTATATGAATGACAGCAGGAGATCTCAACCAGATGTTAAGGAGCTTTAGGGAAAAAACTGCTCTGCAGCCAAGTGCAGGGCCTTCCTGGATCTGCAGACCGTACCTTTCGTATGGTTCAGAGGAAAGATACCCGAAGCCCCAGGATCACTACCAGCATCAACCTTGTACGTTGTTAAGTGCAGGCTTTGCAGCCAGACCACCCAGGTTCGTAGCCTGACTCTGAGCTTGGGCAAGGCACACGATGTTTCAGAGCCTCTGTATTCCTGTCTATAAGCTATAGAGCACAATGGCCTCCCGCCATAAGGCTGCTATAAGAATTATCAGGTGAGTTCATAGCAAGTGCTTAAAACCGTGCATAGTAAGTGCTCGTTAAGTGTTAGCCATTGTTGCTGCTGTTATTATTGCTGTGGCTGCTATGACCATCATTATGATTTCAGCAAATTCATTATCGCATTGGTGAGTCTGTCTATGGCAGAGTGGAGCAGCAGATAGGTAGGCTTGATGGCAAAAAAAAAAAAAAAAAAAAAAAAGACACAAGCAGAGTGAAGACAGAGGGAGCTGAGTCGACTCGTGGGTCTGGGGACAGCACCAGGCAGACTTTAAGAATTATGGTGGGCCTCCAGCCCCGGTGTCTTACTCCTCATCCATACACTGTCCATCTCCCCCATCCACTCCCTGCACTGTGAGCCCTATGGGGGCGGGGCTAGTTGAGCTCACTGCTGTGGGGCCAGTGGGGACTGAAGTCCCCAGCAGAGTGCAGGCATCCGACTATTTATGAATAAAAGCAAGAAAGCAGAAGGAGGAACTGAGAGCGGCCTGACAGCCCTCACATCAGCCCCATGCTCCTTCCAGAAGACCTTGGTCCACCACAACCACAGCCCCGGCTCTTCATTAGAACATCTTGTTTCACTGACCCAGCATCCGTTCTGTTCTGGTCACAGCCCCCAATTCTTCCCCTGAGGGACCTCCTTTACACTCGGAGCCCACTGGCCCCACTCCACTCCCAGGCACCACAGGCGAGCATGTCACTCAGGCCACGCCAAGCAAAGAGAGCCCTGTCCTGGCAGCAGCAGTCCAAGCTGGGCCAGTGCCAAAGGCCCCGGGCTAACATCAATGTGAAGAGAAGCTGTCTGTGAGCTGTGGCTGCCGAGCTGTCAGCACCAGCTTGAAACACCAAGGCACCTCTGCCACCAGGAGAGGCACCCACTCCCTTCCCCCGCACCCCTCAAGAATGAAGCCAGTACACAGGAAAGCAGAACCTAGAGACAGACCAAGTCCTGCAAACATCAGAGGGGGTCCTGGATCCAGCTATGCCTGAAGCCAGATCACTTCTGAACATTCCGTTTATATGAGCCATTACCGTTCTTGTTTTTGTCACTTGCAGTAAACACAGTCCTGATACAGGCACACTTTGAAAAGGGGCAAGAAAATGACAAAATGGGGCCCAAGCCTAGTGAGGTGACAGGGTCTCCCGTTCATCTCCATCCATACGGTGAAGGGGCCGGGCCAGGAATAAGACAAATCTGTTTCCTGTCGCATGCGAACACCAGTGAATAGGGACTGCTGGCTGGAACTCTGGTGAGGAGAATTCTGGAGCCCCCAAGGAGCACAGAGGCAGAGGTTCTGATGGATTAGCGATGTCTGCCGCAGATGCAGGAGAGAGAGTAAGTGATAAGATCACCACAGCTGTGTCATCCCGGATCCCCGGAGCCCCTTCTCGGACACTCTGCAATGTCATCCTCTCCTTCAGCCTGTGGAAGGGCTGAAGGGACCAGGGCTTGAGGCTCGGAGAAGTTAAATTTAGGAGATGACAACACCCCTCTTCAGAGCACCAATCCCACTTCCCTCACTCCCGGGCCCTTTCATGGAGCCCAAACCCAGCTGTGTCTCAGGCCTGAGACCCTGCAAGTCTGGAAATGCTGCTTTTGACAGCTAAGAACCCCAGTGTTCAATTTCCTCCGAGGGCCCCCACATAGGCATTGATTGTTTTTCCAGGAAGAAACAAACAGTTGTGCACACGCAGATGTGGTGGGTAGGGAACACATGGCTGTGGATCTGGGCTGTGGAGGAGGAGGGGCCAGCTGCCAGCTGGGGACAACTTGGGGAGAGTGTGTAGACCCCCAGAGAGGACTCAAGGAATGTCAGAGGTGGTGGCTGCTGTCCACAGTACCTGGGGGGACAGGGGGGGACGACACTAGCTCCACGGAGACCCCATGCTCTGAGCCACTCACTTCACACCCTGAGTGGCTGGGACTCAGCACAAGGAAGGAGCTAGCTATGGGACATCTCCCGCAGTGCGGAGGGGAGAACGAGATCCCAGTCTCACTTTTGCCAGGGACTCCCCAACCTATCCACACAGCTGCAGGGAGAGGAGGCTCACATGTCCCTCAGGCCACACCACTTCCCTGTAAAAACTCAGAATAAAATTCCCACAGGCGCTGGCCCCCATGACATCCCACACTCCCTCCATCGCTCCTCTGCTCCGGCCACCACCGTCTCCCTGCTCCCATCCCACGGGCCCTGCCCTTCCCCAGACCATCCCATCTCCCCACCTCACAGAGGCCCACCCTGACCATGTCCCCAGACAAGTCATAGGGCACCCAGCTGTGTGCTCATCTCAGTATTTCAGATGAGTAACTAACCTTTTATAAGTATGTCACAAATGCTGCATGAGACATAATAAAAATTGATTTGTCATTCACCTGAGATCCAAATTTGCTCAGCACAAATTTACTCAGCAGCCCTGGGTGCTTCAACGTGCTAAATCCAGCCACCTGTTCCTGACTTCCCAAGGTCAGACGACCTTGAGTCCAGTCACTCCTTCTCACACCTGCATTCATCATCGTCACAGCCCACATCGCCATCTGAAATGAAGCCCCCGTTAACTCCCTCGCCCTCTGTTTCTCCTGAGCATCATGGCAGCAGGGAGCAAAAGCTGTCTTATTCAGGGCACCATCCTCAGGGCCTAGCACCATGCCTGGCTCACAACAGGTGCATAGTATGTATTCAGGAGACTTTGTCATGTAAGATGGTGAAAACACACAATCCCTGGAGCCAAACTACATGGACTCAAATCCTGGCTCCAACACGTCCTGGCTGTGTCAAGGTGCATGATGAGTTAACCTCTCTGCGCCTCAGTTTCCTCATCTGTAGAATGGGTATAAAACAGCACCCACTGTTTAAACTTGTTAGGGAGTTTTCAGGAATTCATAAACACAAAGCACTGAGAACGGGGCCCCGCACCAAGAGAACGTTCACTCAGGTCTAGTCTGTGATGAGGGCTAGTAGTGGTTGGATTGAGGGTGAGGGGGTGAGGGATTCTCCCACTATCAACAGAGGGGGTGGCGCCCACCAGGGGGCTGGTGTGTCAGCCAGGGCCCTTGCTGGGTCTCGTGCTGCCCTCCCTCTGCTGGAGCCTGTCCACAACGCTCTGGGCCCAGCTACAACCTCAGCACCGGACACAAACAACCTCAGCACCAGACACCGCCTCAGCAGGGAGCGAACAAGCCTGGCAAGGAGGCTGGCCTGGAGACACCACCCTGGGATTGTGGTGGACACTGTGGAGGGCCACGTGCACCCCGTCAGGACAGAGGCACCCAAAGCCCCCAGGGAGTCCCTCCCCGGGAACGGCCCTGGGCCTGGGGCTATACACACGCTCCTGGGACAGCCCGTGTCCGGGGACTGGGCACTGCGGGCTGCGAAGGCCCAGCCGCATGGCTGCAGCTCCAGGAGGCCTGAAGCGGAGTCCCTCCTGGTGGGGAGTGCACAACCTCCTTTCAGCTGCTCCCAGCCACCTGTGCTCAGATCTCAGCTTCCAGAAGCCCAGCCCACAGCTGCGGCGGGGATGAAGAGTGGGCAGGGAGCTCCTCCCGGGGCAGGGGGAAGCGGGGGTGACATTTCCAATTAAAATGATGCTCTAACTTAAAAACACTGAATCACACCGGAGAAAGCTGACTCCCTTTTCAATTGTTCCCGTTATCGCAGCAGCTCGGTGTGATATGACTCAAACTCCATCGCACAGGGGTTTATCTTCCCTCCGATCTAATCGGGCAGGCCTCAGGCTCAGAACCCCAGGTGGGGGGAGTTTCTAGACAGAATGCGGTAACTCAGCTTGGTTTCTATTTGCATTCCTTTTTAAGGTTACCTTCTATTTTTAGCAACCATTTTCCATTTCCAATGATGATGCAAATTTCCCTTTTTAAATGTCTATTTAAGGTGGGGTGAGTTTTTTTCAAGTAAATCTATTTCTTAAACGATAAAATAAATAATATTATGAGGGCTGCCCAGATATAGCAGAAATTACAAAGTGTATAAATCAATGAAGTCTGGCTTTGCCATTAGGAGGGTCCAGATCCCACTTCTTCCACCTATAGAGGCATGACCTGGGATTTAACCTTTCAGGTTGCTTGCCTGTTGAGTAGGCTGTCTGTCCCCTGCTATTCTGGATGCAAGGAGCAGTGGACATGACAAAGTCCCTACCCTCGTGCTGTGGATATTCCAGGGGGGTGGGGGGGCAGACAAGGAACAAAAAGCAGCAAAATATCCAATGTATCAGAGGGTGGTAAGGATCGCTGACAATAATAAGGGCGGGGGGCCTGGAAGGGCAGGGAGCATGACCATCCTGGACAGAGTGGGCATGAGAGAGCTCACAGAGGAGGGGGCATTTCCGTAAAGATTTCAAGGCAGGAAGGGACAGGAGCCGCAGGGACGCCCGAGGGAACCAGCCCAGGCAGAGGGAACAGCACACTCCACAGGAATGAGCTCCCTGTGTTCCAGAACAGCGAGGAAGCCAGCGTGACTGCGATGGCCAGCGTGAGGTCCCAGGAGCTGGCAGGGCCTGGCAGAGTCTAATGAGTCACCAAGTGCCCCAGACATCGCTGGGAGATGCCAGAGAGTGCCGGGTCCCATACGCAAATATGTGCATAGTGCAAACGAGCAAACACACCTGAGGACTTATTAATAGGCAAGGTGCTGCTACTTTTATTTATCCTCTCAACCACCCTGGAAGGTGGGTTTCCCTGCCTTCACTTTACAGATGAGGAAACTGAGGCCTGGCCAGGTGAGGTCATTCTCCCAGCATCACAGGAAGCAGCAGAGCCAGGAGGCAAGGTCAGGCACCAAGCTCTAAAGAAACTTGCTCTCGAGGGACCAGGCAAGATGGGTTCTCAAGATTCAGGGGAGGTCCTGGCCCACAGTGACTTCCCACACAGACTTGAACTTCAACCGTCGGTGCATCAGGATTCTGATGGGAAGCACTGTCCCGGTCAATGCCCAATCGATGAGGCTACCGAGTGGGGTCGGGGCAGTCAGAGGAGAAGGTATGGAAAAGGGGTTGCCTCCTGGGCAGTAAACTCCCCATCCTCTTTCCTCCAGCTTTCTGGCCCCAGCATCTCTGGATGAGTTAGGAATCCTGCAGAGAGAGTGGGGAGATCTCAGGTGGGCACTCGGGATCCAGAGAACCTCAGCGACCAATAGTGAAACTTACTCACCACACCTCTGAGGCTCCAGCACTAAAGTCAGGGGATCCGGGGGGCGGGGGTTATGGGCAAACAGATAATGCACCTTGAGGACCTCTTCCCCCATGTTGGCTAAAGTATGGGCTATTCCACCCTTGATGTCATCACTTCCTGGCCAGCCCCCAATAATCCACCTCCTCCTGAAAGCCTTCCTGGTGCCCAGCTGGAATGACGCCCCGTGAGTGTCCCTCACGCAGCATCAGCCCAGTGCCGGCCTGGATCTAAGTGCATCACTCACACGAACTCATTCCCCACTCCTACTCACCGCTTCTCACCATCTCCAAGCTACCCCCTGCTCCAGGCACCATCTTCTCAGACAGCACAGGGACCTCTTCCTGGTGACCCTGCACCTCCACAGTCCCCTCCCCACCTCCCTGTGCAGCAGCCCAAGGGCCTCCTAAACCCCTAGCACATCACACCTCTGCTCAGCACCCCCATGAGTGCCCACCTCCCCTATGCCCTATCTGGTTCTCATGTTCATTCTGCTCCAAACACTAAGGGATGGTGGTTAAATGAAAAGAAAGATATCATCCAACATGTTTTTTGTTAATCCTCAGCTGAGGATATTATTCCCCTTTTTTCTTTTTTTTTTCTTTTTTCTTTTTTCTTTTTTTTGAGAGAGAGAGAGTAGAAAGGAGGGAGGGAGGTGAGGGGGAAGAAAGGGAAGAAAAGAAGGAAGTGGGGGAAAGAGAAACATCTATGTTCAAGAGACACAGTGATTGGTTGCCTCCTGCACGTGCCCCAACCGGAACCAGAGATTGAACCTGCAACCCAGGTATATGCCCTTAACTGGAAATGAGACCCTTCAGTGCATGGGCCAACACCCTAACCACTTGGCAACACCAGCCAGGGCAATAGCATCCAACATTTATTGAGCATTTACTGTGAGTCAGGAGCTGTTCTGAACACTCTCCTTACATTAGCTCGCTCAATGCTCAATAACATCATGGGCAAGTCTAGCTTTTTTTACCCATTTGGCAAGTGAGGGCACTGAGGTTAAAACAAGTCGCTTACAAGCACTCAGCAGCCTGGCTGGGAGCACTGCCCTCCCAACACAGCATGAGCCAGTGGCTTCCCCTGAGCTGCAGCTCCGAGGGCAGAGCTGCACCAGGCTGTCATCCCAGACTCTGACCACCAAGACGTGACCCTTCAGACCAGCGGTCGCCGACCTTAAGCACCTCAGGGAGCACCCGGGGTCCGCGGAGCACCGGTTGGCGGCCGCTGCTCTAGAGAAGGGAGTTAGTGATAATGACAATGACTGCGGCAGCGTCAACGTGGACCCAGAGCTTATCCTACACCAGGGTTTCTCACTCACGGCACTGCTTACATTTGAGGGGGAATAATGCTGCCATGGGGGCTGTCCTGTGCATGAGAGGATGTTTGATGGCATCCCTGGCCTCCACCCACTAGAAGCCAGTAGCCACCTGCTCCCCCACCCCCACCCCAAAGCTGTAATAGTAAGAAATGTCTCTAGACACAACCTAACATCTCCAGAGGCAAAATCACCCATGACTGAGAACCACTACTCTCTGCTACATACACACTTCACTGCTTTATCTCTTTGAGTCTTTCCATCAACCCAAGGATATAGGCCTGATTATCCCTATTTCTCAATCAGGGGAGAAGCTCATTTCCCAAAAGCTGTAGGCTCCTACAGGGGCTGGGGCATGGTACTCACAAATCTTAAGAAAACGTTCCCAAGTTCATGCTGAGACTGAGGCTCCGGATGTAAACAGTACTCCAAGGCAGCCAAGAAATCCTTATGAACTTCCAGGATGTCTTCGATGTTCGAGAACAGGATCTGTGGGGGAAAGCGAGGCCCAAGGACAGTGTCAATCAAGGCACAGAGGGCGAGCTAAATCAAGCATAGAATAAACACATAACCTCCGGAGCGAGTGAGGGGGTGATGAAGTGGGCACTCACACACGGAGTGAGCCAGATTACACTAATAAAAACAAGGATAATGATAAAAATATTGCCAACATTAACTAAACAGGATTAATGCCTGATCCTGTGCTAAGAACTTTATATGCATTTACGGCAGCTAATCCTCACTCTGACTCCAGGAGGGAGGAACCGTTATTATCCCCAATTTGTAGATGAAGAGCGGAAGCTCAGAGAAAGTAATTAACATTGCCAAGGTCACACATTCAGTAAGCAGCAGAACTGATCTGCACACCCAGCGTGCAGAGAATTTATTAGACATTCGTCTCAGTCTTCATCGTGGCCACAAACGGAATGGCCAACCATAGGACTGCTTTTTAAAACAATCACGGTACTTCAACGCACCATTAAGATGGACGTAGCAGAAGACAATACAATGGGGAAGCACGTTCGACATATTCTCTTTCAACTCTCACCACCAATATGTGAGAGTGCCCATGTCCCCTAAAGAGTCTATAAAGCTTGACATGCACATACACTCTCACCCAGCATTTCTGCATTTCAGAATCTGACCTTTCAATCAGTCATTCCCAATTAGGAACAGTTTTGCCTCCCGAGGGACATTTGCCAATGCCTGGAGGCATTTCTGTTTGTCACGCATTGTGGGGGAAGATGCTACTGGCATCTCCTAGGTGATGCTGCTAACCATCCTATAATACACAGGACAGCCCCACCCCTCAGCCCCCAGCAAAGAATCATCCAGCCCAGAGTGTTAACTGTGCCGAGGATGAGAGCCGGGTGGATGGCCACGAATGTATACTGCAGCCTTATGTGCAGCAGCAGAAGACTGGGGAAAGGCCAAACGTTCATTAATGAGGACTCATCCAACAGTTAAATAAACTGGATTCGTTACAATTAACTATTAATACATCCCACATACTAAAATACGATGTGGCCTCTAAAAAGAACCTGCAGATCTGGATCTATGGATATGGACCACGGAATGACCCTTGACATACACTGTTGAGTGGGGGGGATCAGGGTACCACACTGAACCTCGGTATTGGCCCATTTGTGTGAAATAAACACAAAAAGGTCACTCCTCTCCGCGCTGGCAGCAGCGGGGACGGCCTGGCAGGGACACAAGCTGGTGACCATAAGGGCCTCTGGGAAGGAGACTCAGGGGAGACGTTCATCTACTTTAGGTCCTTTTGAATGGCATACATGGCTTTTTCTGTGTGTGTGTTTTAAAAAGTATTTTTAATGAAAATTATTGGGATGATATTGGTTAATAAAATTACATAGGTTTCAGGTACATAAGTCCATGATACATCATTTGTACGTTGCGTTGTATGGCCACCACCCAAAGTCAACTCTTCTTAAACAGATGCATTTTCAATGTAATTTTGAAGAAGGCACTCACATGATTCAAAAATCAAAAACACAGTAATATAAATTCAGGGAGGAGTCCCTTTCCCACCATTTCCCCACTTCCCACCCACCATGGCTCGAGGTAACCAGTGTTACTACTGGTTTACGGTTCCCTCTAGGGTTTCCTATTCATTCGTTCATTCAGCAAGTACTGGCTGAGCACCTACTATGTGCCAGGCACTGTTAGAGGCCGGGGTACATCAGGGGACAGACAAGTGCCCACCCCATGGAAGTGACCTTCTAGTGAAAGGAGACAGACAACAAACAAGTAACTACAGTTTGCTAGGTGCAATAAGAAACAAAGCAGGAAGTCCCAGGACAGGGCAGAAAAGTTTGCAAATTTAAATACAGGAGCCAGGGACAGCCGCTCTGAGAAGGTGACATTTAAGTCAAGACCTGAAAGAATGAAGATCAGCCCTGGGGATCCCCCAGACTGAAAATGCACCAGGGAGTCTGCAGAGGGAGATGGTTGGGGGCCGGGGAGGGCAGGGAAGGCTGAGGTGCTGCAAGTCTGAGAGCACCAGGGCCTCATCCTGGGGGATGCTCATCCCAAGAAGTGGCTGAAGAATCACTGCATGGTTTGTGGTTAGTTTCCTTTCTCTCATCTGTCAAGATCACATGGTTGAATCTCTCTGCTTATGTCAAAGACTCGTATGCTAGATCTTACTGTTACCCTTGCTTCAAAGAATGGGTGTAAAACTTCAAAATAAATACCTGACTCCTGAATTTACACCCAAAAGAACTGAGAACCTGTGTCCACCAAAAGATGTAACACGAATGGTCATAATAGCCAAACCTGGAAATAGCTCAAATATCCTCCACAGGACAATGGATGAGAAAATCGTGGTACATCCATGCCATGCAATAAAAAGAGTGGATCAACAACATGAGTAAATCTCACAGACATAACGTGAGCAAAAGGCTCCAGACATAATGAAAGAGCCCATTTTTATATAAAAATTTAAGGACAGGCAGAATCAATTAATGCTAACCAATTATCAGTTATCCTTGGGGAGCGGGCATTATTGGGATGGGACACAGAGGAGTCTACATTTAGAATTGCAACCTTTATATATGTGAGTTATACCTCATTAAAAGGTCATTATTTTAAAGAATAGTTAACTGATGTTAAGAAAGAGAGAAAGAGAGTGAAAGAGAGACAGAGATTGAAACATCAATGATGAGAGAGAATCATTGATCAGCTGCCTCTTGCACGGCCCAGACTGGGGATTGAGCCCTCAACCCGGGCAAGTGACCTGACGGAGAACTGAATCAGCAACTTCCTGGTACACAAGACAACGTCCAACCAACTGAATCACACCAGCCAGGGCAAGAGATAATTTAAAAAAAAAAAAAAAACACTAGCCGTAGCCGGCTTGGTTCAGTGGATAGAGCGTCAGCCTGCGAACTGAAGGGTCTCAGGTTCGATTCCAGCCAAGGGCACATGTCTGGGTTGCGGGCTCCATCCCCAGTAGGGGGGTGTGCAGGAGGCAGCCGATCAATGATTCTCTCTCATCATTGATGTTTCTGTCTCTCTCTCCTTCTCCCTTCCTCTCTGAAATCAATAAATATATTTTATTTTTTTTTAAATACACTATAACAAATTGCAATCTGAAATTTTAATAACTTTTAAGTTGTAACAGGTTGTAATAAAGAGAGGTCATAAACAGTAGGTGCTCAGTGAATACTTGCTGAACGAATGAGTGAATGAATGAATGAAAAGTTCCGATCCCCGCGCTTCCAGGGACCGGCCATGCAGTGACCCAGAACAGGTCTCTTTCCATCTCTAAGTCTCAGCTTTCTTACCCAAAACACTGAGCTCAGAATTGTCAACCTGCAGGTCACTGTCCAGATTAATCAAGACAAGTGGGCAGGCGGGCGGGCGGGGAGGTTGGGCGAGGCCTGCTTGACCAAGTCCTTTGTGTGTTATACAGGCTGGCACCCTGACCCCCTCTCGGCCCTGTCTCCCCTTCTCCCCTGGGGCCAGGACCCTGGAGCCCCAAGGACTGAAGGCAGCTTCCCAAGGAGTGAGGTCACATGAGAAAGCCAGGCCCGGGAGCACGGGGAGCATGGGGGCCTCCACCAAGCACACAGAGGGCCTATTGACGTCCTCCCGAAACTCCCCGGAGCCACTGCCAAGACGAAGCCGGGGCCCAATCATTCATCTCCCTGCCCGCACACTCAATGCCCAGGGCACGGCAGGGGCTGGGGGTGTCAGGCTCCCAGGGCGCCTGGGAAGGGATTTTCCGCTGGCTGGAAGCCAGGGGGCTGGGCGCAAGGAGGCTGGAAGACAAGATGGTCGTGGTGAGCGAGGAGAAAGCCCTGGGTTGGGGAGTGGAAGCCTGAGGCCGAGTCCTCCTGACCCACCAGGCACGGTTTGCTCTCAGGACAGAGAGGCCCTGGGGCTGCAGGGAGCCTGCTGCAGGAAGACAAAGCAGCTGCTGGCGAGTGGAGACATCCCAGACCCCCAAGCACCCTCTAAGCATCGCTCGGGGAGGAAGCAAGGCACACAGCTGCTGGGACAGTCTGCAAAGGGGTCAACCCGGGTGTCCGCACCTTGACATTCTCCTCCGTGAGGCCCTTCTCCGCCGAGTCCACCACGTTCTGCCGGATGCGATGCAGAAAGGCCTGGAGGAGAGAGCAGGAAGAGATGAGTGTCCACGCCTTGATCTCCCAGGGCTGGCCCGAAAGGAAGGTCTCAAGTTCAAATACCAAGTAGGACCTGGGAAGTACCATGTCCAGGGACATGTGAGGGAAGCAAGGGAAGAAGGCAGGAAGGAGGCTGGCCCTCCACAGATGGCTGTCAGATCCTTGCCCATCACCCGGGAGAGGCAGCCGTGGCTGGGATGAGGAGCTGGCCACCTGCAGGTCTCAGACAGGAGAGTCAGGGACACAGAGCAAGGCAGCCGTGCCTCTGTCCCACTCTCTGTGGGGCTGTCTCCGCCAGCCCCTCCGCCTAGGCTTACATCCCCTGCCTGGCCTTCTCCCCAACTTCCAGACTCCCACCCGGATTTCTGCCGACCCGACACCCCCACCTGGATGGCCAAGGAGCAGCTCAAAGGTAACCCCTCCAAAGCCGAGGTCCTGACCCTCCCTGCAGCCCACACCACCAGGCTCCTCCCAGCCTGGTGAACAGCACCTCCGCTGGTGCTCCAGCCAACCCAACGCCCATCCCAGGGGTCCTTGATCCCTGACCTCCTTTCTCTGACACACCATTTCCATCTGTTTATAAATGCTACCCTCTTCACCTTCCGCATGTATTGAAAATCCGACCACTTGTCCCCACCTCCGCAGCCACCCCCTGATCCAAAGCCATCATCTTCCTGCCTGGACCCATGCAGTCACCTCCTCCCATTGCCCCTGCCCCCCACCCCACCAAAAGTCTTCTTCACACAGACAGCCAGAGGGACCCTTTTAAATGTGTAAATCAGACCTTGTCAACCCATAGCTTAACACTCTCTACACTATATTTTAAAAAGTCTAAATCTTTCCACAGCCTGTAAAGTCCTCATTAATCTCTCTAAACTCACCTTCCAGCATTCCATCTCCCCCCCGCCCACACACACACACACATCTCAATAATCTTCAGCCATACCTTCCTTCTCTCTATTTCTTCCACCTGCCAGGCACTTTCCTGCCTCAGGACCTTTGCACATGTTCTTCCTTCTAGCAGGATATTCTCCCCCAGCTCCCCTCTGGGCCAGCTTCTTCTCATTCATTAAAGCCTGAGCTCAGATGTCACCTCCCAGAGGCCCTCCTGTCTTCATGCTCTTGTCACCTTCCCGACTGGCATTAAAAGCGGGCTTAACAAATAAAAAGACTCAGTTTGAGCGATCTACACCAACTCCTAAGGGCGAGGCCGAGACCAGAGGAAGCATGGCTGGAATGGAACTTTTACCTAATCCAGCAGCAGAGGCTGGGTTTGGAAGCTGATGGCTGGATGTAAACTGCAGTCCTTGTCCTCCCTGCTGTGTGTGTGACCTCAGGGAAGTGCATTAGCTTCTCTGAGCCTGTTTATTTCCCCCAAATGTGGAGAACTTAGAACAGTGTCTTACCCTCAAGACTGCATCAGGATAAAGTAAGTGGAAGCTCCATGAGGGCAGGGACCTTGCCTCCCTCATTCCCAGCTGTCACGCCAAGGCCTAGTCTCGTGCCTGGCACTCAGAAATCAGAAGGGATAGAATGCCTGGCACCACGCCTGGCACATGGCAGGAGCCTCAAACCGGGGCCACTTGGTAACCTGCTGATTTTTCTTCTTAAAGGACCATGCGTGGAGGGGACAGGGCACAGGAGTCCCTAGAGGATGTCTCCACAGGGCCTGTGATGCTGCTGGGAAATCCAGCCTCCAGCCTCCTCAGCCTGCAGGGACACAAAGCGCAGCCCGGGAGAGCAGGAAGCTGGGCGTGCAATGAGGCTGACCTAGATCGGGGCTTCCTGTCCCGGTTTCTTCACACGAGCAGGGCCACCGCTATTGTGCCGGGACAATGAGAGGCTCCGCTCCGGCCACCCACAGAGAAGCCGCAAACAGGCCGGTGTGATGGGCTCCATGGGCAGCTCGTGACCCGGAAAGAATGGGCAGGCATGGGCTGCGGGCCCAGCCTCGTGCTCCCCAGGACACGACCGGCTTTGCCAGGCGGCGCCAATGCCCTCGGTGCAGGCGGGGATGGAAGGGTCCCGGCCCTGACAGCTCTGGCCAAAAGCAGCTCTCAGCCCGGAAACCTCCCCTAGAGGGGACTGTTCTCAGGATCTCCCGGGCCGCCTGGGACTCTGCTTCGGCCATGGACTCTGTCCACACCACACCTCTGCCTGGGCCACCGCCCTGCGTCTGCCCAGGTCCCCCTTTCTGTGATGATGAGCATGGAGTACCAAGGACCCAGAAAAAGATAGAGAAAAATTGAACACCCACCCACAGAGACATCACGGGGCAAATCTTAGCATGGAGCCAAATTTGCTGTAAACTATTTCCAAAAAGAACGTTATCAGATCTGGGGGGCATGGCCGGGAAAGGGGCCTAGGGGAGCCCTCCGAGGGACGGGCAATGTTCTTCGACCGCAGGGGGGGTACTCAGGCGAATGCACACGCAAAGCCTCCTCGGCGAGCACCGAGGGGGGGGTTCACTTTCCCCAGGCGCCACTGAATCCCCCTCCCAGGACAAACAGGAAGACGCTCCTCGTTACAGAGAGAGGCGGGCCGCCTGGGCACCTGCCCGCCCCACAAGGCCCCTCTGGCCTTGGAGGCGGCGCCTTCGCTCGCTTCCCACGCACCTGTGAATCGGGAGGCGAGGAAGGATGCTCTTCTACATATCGGGTGACACACTGGCTTTTCTCATTCATGACATCTTCCACTTTTATCCACATCAATAAACACACTTGGCAGTACCTGCCATCCAGACCCCAGCCACACCCCTTAGCCTGGTACCACCCAGACCCCAACCACAACCCTTACGCCAGTACCACTTCCAGCCGCCAGCACCCACATCTCTCGGCTTACCCAGAGCCACACAGCCAGAGGGGCAGAGGTGGGCCTCAAAGCCAGGCAGTCTGGCCTGGTGATTAGTGCCCCACATGCATGACCAGTGATTTCAAGTTTCTTCTTTCTTCATTTCTGTTTTGTTCTTCCCAAAGTCTACAGACAGCGCACAGAATAAGCATAAAACAGGTAGCAGCTGCCCTCGGGGGTGCCCAGGGAGCTGCCATCTGTCTGGAACCTGTGGCCACAGCCCTGGGAGGATAAATCCCTCCCTGGAGATGACAGGAACAGAAAGAAGCCTGGAAGTCACTCTTAGAGACCAACGGGCAACCTGATCGGAGGGAGGGCCTCCATGCCCCCAAGGACGTCCCATCTTGGCGAGGGTGACCTCACCAGACATATGGCGAAATCTGAGAGGGCCAGGGGACCCATTAGAAAAGAGGGGAGGCGAGGCGGGAGGCAGGGCAGCCAGCCCCCCCACCATAGTGAGGACAGAGGAAAGGGGGTGCCGAGGACTCCATCCTCCCATCTGGACTGGGTGGCGAGAGGTCTAGGGAAGCAGTGTCACTGAATAGCAGGGATCTGCGTCAGAGTAATAATAACAAACTTGTGGTAACAGTAGCACACGATGGATTTGCACAGCCTGCTCTAAGCACCCCCACAAAATACCCACTGACTCCTCCAATGCCCAGGTGCTCTGCTCCATCCACTGACGTTGTGGGCATTTATCCCACAGTGAAAAAAATAAATCTCACACATGGCAACAAGATTGAGCTTCAGTATCTGAGGTATAATTCTACCGCTTGAAGTTTAGTTAAGTAAACTGTCCACCTTTTTAAAAATATTTTTATTGATTCCAGAGAGAAAGGAAGAAAGAGAGACTGAAACATCAGTGGTGAGAGAGAATCATGGATGGGCTGCCTCCTGCCTGCTCCATACTTGGGGATTGAGCCCACAACCTAGGGCATGTGCCCTGACTGGGAATTGGACCTGACCTCCTGGTTCATAGGTCTACGCTCAACCACTCAGCCACACTGGCCAGGCAAATTGTCTATCTTGACAAAAGAAAATCATGTTAGAACTGGTTTGCAGAAGTCATTAATATTTAATGATATGGGGGGGAAAGGCTGTTGATGTATCTCTAACTCTAAAAATAACCCAAGTCACAGAAGAATACATAAAATGTCATCTCACTTGGGGTTAAATAAATAATCTCTACACAAACATAGAAAAGGCAAGTGCAGAATACCCTAAATTTGTGTGAGACAATGGCCAAGATTACTCGCTGTCCCCTAATATCTGGTCTCTCCTTTTCCTTCAGAAACAGAACCCCAGATTTTATCATAAAGGTGCTATTTCCCAACTTCCCGTGTCAGTAGGTGTGGCCATGTGACTACGTTTGGGCTAGCAGACGTAGATGTATTAGGCACAACTACTTGGAAGTATCTTAGGGGTGAGGAGAGAAATAGGAAAGGAGTCTCTTCTACTGTTCCTCCTTCCTACTGATTAGACAGCAAATGCGATGCCTGGAGTGACCGTCCTGTTACCACGAAGGGACCGCCTTGGGTAGACCAGGACGAAGTAGCAATTCAGAAAGAGTTTGGGTCTCTAATAACAGCAGAGCCAACGTATCTGCCCAGACCCGCCTATAATTCAATAAGAAAGAAAACAACTTTCATCTTGTTTAAAGCGCTGTCCTTTGGGCTCTATCTATCGCCATGAAACCTAAATCTGAGGGTAGAATTATTAGTGATTTCAAGTTTCCTCTTTCTTCATTTCCGTTTTTTCCCCCAAAGTTCTACAATGAACATGCTAACTGTAAGACTTTTGACATAAACATTTTGTAACATAAATGTTTTCCTTTTCTTTTTTTAGCAGGAGAGGTTACTAAGTGTACTGGGCTTTCTCTCGCCCACCCCAATTATCGCTTTCTCAGCATCTCTCCTCAATTATCACCTCCCTCCGTAGGCTAGTCCGCATTCTCTTCCTGGAGGACAGGGTCCGGTGTGAGGAGGGCAGTGTCTGCAGGCAGAGAGAAGAGCAGATGACAAGGTTTCCCTGCTGCGGTGGGGCCTCCAGGCCCCTCCTTCTCTGTGTTAACTCTGGAAACCACAAGGCTCCCCTCCAGGAAGGTGCCCATCCCGGCCGCCCTCCTCCGC